CATTCATTTTAATGAATATGTTATATTTTATAGTTTATATTTGTGTCATCTCTAACTTGGGTACATATATATATGTTGGTGGGGTTCTGATAATCTCCATTGGGTTTAGCGTTAGTAATAGAGTGAAAAAAAGTCACTGAGCTATAAGGAATATATCTTGGTTGGTGCATGCGGGTTTGGATTGGTATAATTGATATGGATGTCACCTAAAGGCACTTAACAATGATCAAGCCATGTTTAATTTATGTTAATAAAAAAGTCAAAGAAAAAGGAAATTGAGAGAACAAGAAAAATTTGAAATTGGGTGGGGGAAGGGGCAGGACTTAGTAAACAGGGGCACAGTTTGGTACAAATTGTGGTGCACACCATTCCTCTTCCCCACACAAATTTAGAATACACACCCACTCATCTGACCCCATTTATGGAAAGCTGGGAGGGTAAACTATTTTTTTTCTCCCAAACCAAAGTTTCCCAATGACCACCAATCATCTTGAAAAATTTAAACGTGTTGTCATTTTTCAAGTGATATTTTTTCATACACCCTTTCAAAAAATATAGATAATTTTTATCCCAGTTAAAATGCAAGGAATTAATTTTTTTTTATCATGTGTAATTAGGAAAGGGAGTGTAGTGTAAACTAGATGGTGTGATTGTGATGCACATCACTCCTCTTCCCCACAAATTTAGAATATGCTCCCTCCATTAGCAGAAATTTTGGCCTAATTACACCATCTAATGCACAGTATAAAACCTTGATAACTACTTTGCGATTGCGATCCAGACAGAAAGTTCTTCGAAACTTGTGGCTTGTCTTTTTTTTTTTTTTTTCCTTCTGTTTTAAATGTGTTTTTGTGGAAGCTTTTTAATTTTGTGCTTTTCACAAATATTGCTCTGAAATTTTCTCAAAAGCACGCTTGAAATCTGAGAAGTGTTATTCAAGTAGCACTTGATTTTTTAAAACATTGTACATCTTTTTTATTATACTCTTGTTAAATAAATATTTTATATAAGTTTCTTAACAATAATAATTGAAAATTTAATAAATTATTTTTTAAAAGAAAATAATAAATGAAGTAGAGTTATAATTAAAAATTTATAACAACTATTTAATGCCCTATATTTTGAATAAAATATAACTTCTACAAAATGTATTATATTATAGATTGAAAGGCACTATAAGGTACTCGTTAGTTTTTACTTTTTATTGTAAGTTTTTTTTTTTTTTACCCGTGTTAAATGTTGATGTACATGATTGAAACTTTTCATCAAATTCTCACTTGTCCCTCATAAATTGGGACAAATTTATAAATTTATTAAATTCTTAAGCAAAACTGGAGAGTTTGAGTTTCTTGGTTTTTATAAAACACACCAGAAGTGAATAGTAAATAGAAGTGGAAGAAATATATTCTTGCCCAAATGTGTTCCCAATTTCCTTCACATTTCAAACAAGTTATAATAATCACATTTACCTTATTTAATCTTATTTTAACTTGATTAATTAGTTCAAGTGGACTTGATTAGTTTAACTTGATTAATTAGTAATCAATATGACTTTATTACTAGTTATATTGATTTTTCTTTTTTTTTAAAAAAACTATCCTAACAAAGGAGAAAGGGGATCCATATACATGCAACCACCCGCATCCACACAACACACAATCCACACACATCTAATAACAATATATATATTTTTTTTCTGGCCATTTGGGGATGGAACCCATGACAGGTATGGTATGCCATTGAACTAACAGATTCTTGTCGATAGTTATATTCTTTTAAATATAAAGCCACTGTAAGAACCTTACAAAACATATAAAAATTAAATTATATCAAAATTTAAGATAATTCTGTATTTTATAAGAGGATCAATAAAAACAACAAAATTATAATTATTTTGAGGAGTTTAGTGTGTGAACATATTAACGCATTTGTTAGTAGCACTAGTTATATTAGTTAGTTTTACTTACACGATTTAATGTGTGTTTAGTTGTTAATTTTTCAAAAGTTCATCTGTTAAAAGTTTATTTAATAAAAATTAATTTAATAAAAGTCAGTTATTGTAACAAAATTTGTGTTTGAATATATTTGTTCAAAAGTCAATTTAGTAAACTAAAAGTTAATTGAATTATATATAATAAAATATATTTTTAAATATATAATTATCAAAAAAGATATTAATTTATGATAATTTGTAATATTTATTATATAAATATAATATATTAAAAATATTTAAAAGATATGATAAAATTTTTGAATAACATAAAATTTGATATATTAAATAATAATAAAAAAATATAAAGTTTGATATGTTGGAAAAAAATTATATAATAAATAATCCAACATACATTAATGTTAAAAATTAACATGACTAGTTATTTAATTTATAATGTATAATTTGGTATTTAATTGAATCGCGAACTCTATTCATCTTTCTATCAGAAGCCACACTTAAAATATTAATAGTAAAAATAAAAATAATTGTACAAAAATAATCTCAAAAGTAAAAAATATAAAGAGTTTTTTTGTGACAAAAATATAAAAAAATTAAAAATAGAAGAGTCATTAAAAATTTTAGAAGAACATGGTTATATCAAAAATTAAAATGATTATATTTTAAAAATACATTGTAAAAGCTTTTTTTATAACTTTTATCAAATTTACAGTCAACAATATTTAAAAAGTATTGTTTGAAGTGAGATTTGATACCTAAACAGTATCTTACTTTTTAAAAGAAAAATAGTAATTTATGAAAGTAGGATGCGCGATACCAAACGGGCCTTGGTTTCGGTTTCGCTTTCCTTTTTTCTTTGGTCAGGGGGTAAAAAAAAAAAAAAAACAAAGAAAGGACAAAGCAGGGTAATAGTCGCGCAAGCTCGCCCAGTGATATTCGCCTTTTTAAGTCTAACCATGAAAGGCATCCATCAAGGATATCACGCGCTCTGGCAACTTTGGATTGGCTTACCCCAAAACCACACAAATTCATTATTATTGCCGGCTGCTCTGGGTGAGGCGGAAAAAAATGCTGAGTTCGACCTTTATAAACTTAGTTCTCATAAGACCTTTAAAAGTTTAAGCTTAATTTTTTATTTTTTACTTTTTTTTGAGGTTCGATCATTATTTAAAAGGCTCAGAATCAGATTCTCAAGTCCTGTTTTAAAATAATTAAATAAAAATAAAATTAAATATTATAAATTAATTAAAATATTTTAAAATTTAAAATAAAATTAAAATTTTTATAATCTTTTAAAAATTAAATAATAACACTTAAAAGTTTAGTAAAAAAATTTAAATTTTAGTTAAAAAAATTTTATTTTTTATAAATAAACAAACATAATAATTATAGAAAAATAAAAAATGTTTAAAATTTTATATTGTATATTAATATTTATTAAATTATATTACATCAATTTTAAAATAAATTAAAATTAATAGTAATATAATGTGTGTAGAATCAGGATTTCAAGCAAGCATATTCTTGATTTTAAACGTGTGTTTTATCAAAAAAATAATAATAATATAACAGGGTTTAAAGGCTGCTCAATCTGAATTTTTTTTTATAAGACTTATTAAGATCAGGCCTTCAAGTTCAATTATTTTAAAAAAATTTAATTTTTAAAGCTTAAATATTTATTTAAATAGAGCCTTTTAAGTTTAATCTTATTTTTGGCTCTCGCCCTGGGCATGGACCAAATGGGAAATGTGAAAAATGAGCTGAGGGCAAATTAGTCCCGCCATCGTATCCGCCTTTAATTGTACCTTTGAATGTGAGTCGTGGCATTCTTTTAGTGGATCCTGTGCTTCGCTAAAGTCATAAGCATATATTTTTTTAATCAATTACATTAGAATTTTATACTTTTAGATATTTGTTCCTATGAATGGCGAAATTTATTCTCGTTTTCATTTTGTATATTTAAAATTTAATTAAAGATATGGTGAAAATATTTTTTATTTGTTCATAAATAAAATTTTAAATTAAAATATTAACGAGTAACCAAAATCTTACAAACAAATTAACGATTATACAAATTAAATATTATTCTATTGAATTGATGCTAATGTTAGTATATAAAAAACTAGAAGTTATTAATTTTTTACCATTGAGTGAATAAAAATACTCTTATGATTAAAATTTTTAACAAAGTTAATTTATTTAAATTTGTTTGATCCTTTAAAAGATAACCTACATAATTAAAAAATTCAAATCATAATTTGTAAAAAATTATTTTAATTACTTAAATAATTATAAGATAATTATTTAAGATTATGTCATGAAGAAACTGGATATTTTTAGTTTTTTTTTTGTGGCCTGAAAGATATTTTTATTTAAATATGATAAAGTTACAAAGTCCAGTACTAATGGTCAAGGATTACTGATGCTGATTGAACGGGCTAAACAAGAATTCCCATTTTGTCAACCCAACCAATAGTGGAGCGAGTACCTAGACAATCACGCACCGCGCGAGTACAACGAACAACACCCTTCTCGAAAAAACCTTGGTAGATTGAGGTGAAATCCTCAAGACCACAAACGAAGAATCCCAAAGGCCCATGCCACGTGCCAAAATCCTTTCCATAAGATTTACTGGCCCCTTAACTCGCTCCAAAATATCTCTAAGGGGTGGGTTTAAATTTTAATATCTTCCTCCTCGCGGGGCCCACACCGTGCCTCCATTCATATCCCACTCCAAAAATATCATTGTTTTGCAGGCATAAGGAACGCATCACGAGTCCAAAATACAAATACAGGAAGAGAAAAACGGAGAAAAATATCCACCACCAAACACTGAGAGGACCCAATAGCTCTTTCCCTTTTGATCTTTGGTCGAAATTTAGATCTGGGTCCTGACGTGGACATGGTGGGCCACCCCCTCCTGCTTTCTAGATATTTTTCTGGGACTCTCTTTCCGCCAGATATTTTCCCAGGCCGTTCGATTTTGAGGCGGTTAATGGTGGACTTGGCATCCGACGCCCTTGGATACCCTCTTGTATTTAACGTTGTGCCTTCAACATGTGGCCTTTTCTCTCTTATCGCCCTCCATTTTTTATAATGTAATTTTGTCTTTCAAGTATCAGATTTTGTGCTCTGGTTTTGCTTCAGCACTCTGACTTTGCTTCTGGAATCGATTCTGAAGAGACAGAAAGAGAGGGTTGAAGGTGGCAGAAAATGGGCGAGATCGTGTTGAGTGCTGAGAAGGTTCTGGAAGCCATGGAGGCTGAGACCGAGACTCATAAGCAGAAGGGGACGGCGGAGGAGGAAGAGAGTGGAACAGAGAGTAAAGATGACGAACTGAACAATGGATTGATGAGGTGGAAGAAGTTCCTGCCCAGGATGACATTGAGGGTGTTGTTGGTTGAAGCTGATGATTCTACCCGGCAGATTATAGCCGCGCTTCTCAGGAAATGCAGCTACAGAGGTCGGAACTTTTCTATGCTTATCTACTTGGTCCGTTTGATTGCCTCAAACTGTTTGTTTTTCCATCTTGATTTTCTTGGGCCTTTCTCGCATGAATGAATTGGATTTTGGCGGTCCCCCCCCCCCCGTAGTCATTCTCACTCATCATTTTATCTCTCTGATCGAGAAAAGATTTTTTTCTTTATTTTGTCTATTTTTTGGTTTTGGGGTATAGTGGAAATTCTAGGAGATTAGGCTAAATTTTCAGATGAATTTGCACTGGAAGATCTTGTTATTTTATATTTTATCTGAAAAAGGGAAATCGCTATGTTTGCTGCGAAGATGCTTCTGATGCTTTCTTGCTCTCTAGTCTTCCAGGATATATTAAATTGATCGTTTACTTAGAAGTGTTATTTTGGTCGCGCACTGCTTAGTTTGTGCTGGCTTGCGTTCTTTGTTGCATTCCATGATATTTGTATCGGGGCATCATGGTTTGATTCTTCTTATTATTCATCCTTAAGAGCTTAAAATTGAATTTGATTGGTGACATGCTTTCTATTCCGACGCCGGGCTGATGAAGCCTTCATTTAAAGTTTTTAAGATTATTTCATTCGATATGCAAAGGTTAAAGCTTTTTCGTGTAGAATTTGCTCTCTCTAGAATTCTTTACTAAATTCTTTGGCTGTGAAAATAGGAAAAAAGTATGTTATTTGTTTGCAGGCCCCAAAAGTCCCAAACTGAGAGTTTGATAGGGGATTTGGGTAAGAAAAAAGTAAGTCCAATGAACTAACAGTGCCATTTAACTCGCACTATTCAATTCAGTATGAAACTTGACAGTAAAAAAACATGCATCAATGTACTTGCCTGATATATCACATGTCATAGCTTTTGTACTTGCTTGAAGCTTGTAATTTGTAAATTTCAAGTGCTTCACATCCAATTACTTTCTTTTGAAGGTTAGATAATCACACTAACTTTCTTTATCCAATTTGAGCAGTGGCTGCTGTTCCTGATGGCTTGAAGGCTTGGGAAATTCTGAAGGGAAAATCACATAATGTTGATCTTATACTAACAGAAGTAGATTTGCCATCGATATCTGGCTATGCTCTTCTCACATTAATTATGGAGCATGAAATGTGCAAAAACATTCCTGTCATAAGTATGATATCGAGGGAAAAAACTTCTGTCTGTTAAACTGCTGTCTTCTCTTTCACTGCATAATGACTTACCTTATGCGTTTCCAGTGATGTCTTCGCAAGATTCAATCAACACAGTCTACAAATGCATGTTGAGAGGTGCTGCTGACTACCTTGTTAAGCCCCTTAGAAAAAACGAGCTGAGGAACTTGTGGCAGCATGTTTGGAGAAGACAATCTGTAGGACCTGTGTTCCTTTTTTTTTTTTAATTTCTCTTCTTTTTCCTAAATACTTGAATGCTTTTAATTCTTACTTTATCCTTTAATTGTTTGTTTGTTATTTATGTCAGTCAACCACTGGTGTAAACGGTCTTGAAGATGAGAGTGTTGCACAACCGAAGGCTGAAGCCACTGCTGAAAACAATGCTCCAGATAATCATTCAAGTGGTGATGCTGCATGCATTCAAAGGAACAAGGAATTAATTGAGAAAGGAAGTGATGCTCAGGTTGGTTTGGTTTTCCTGAACATGAAATTGAGTAAATATATATATATATATATATAGCAGTTTTGCATTTTTTATGTGTGAAACAATATTTATTCTATTATTTTTGTTGTAAATTAACCTTCCCACATGATTGTCACTGTTGAGCTCTTGGAGAGTCTGTTATATGGTCTGACATTGCCCACCAGTTATTTCATGTGTGAGTTACGTGTCAGTTAATGGAAAACTGCAAATCCTCTCCCCTTCTCGTATTAGTACAGCCTTTGACAGTTTAACCATGGCTTAGCCAACATGTCCCCAATGCTTAATCTTTTCCAGGGGCATGTTTTCTTACCGTTATAAGAGTCTTATAGTTCTATAGAAATTTGTTTTCTGTTTGGATTGGCTACAGGAAGATTTACATGGAAACTTCATGTTTGCTGTCTTTTGCAGAGCTCTTGTGCAAAGCCTGATTTGGAAGCTGACAGTGCTCCTGTGGATCATGTGTACGAGTCTTCCCAAGCAAAGCATGCTGAACCATACCCAAGTGAAACAAAAATCCAGGAGGTTGAAATGTGCATTCAAGCGGACCAGACCTTGACTGTGCATGACAATCACGCTGGAGGTAAATTTCTGCCGGCTCAGTTCCTAATTGACCTATGACATCTGTTATGCATGACAAGGAAGAAACTAAAATTTCAGCAAAACCTTTATTAACTAGGATTGACAGTTGAGATCCGCAAAAATGGTGAGACTAGTTCAGCTTATGGCAAGGATGGTGACCAAGAACATTTTAGCAGTCCTGTCGCCAGTCAGGAGGCTTATGACAATCACAATGTTCAAATAACCTCTTCAAAGGAAGCTATTGACTTGATTGGAGCATTTCGAAATCATCCAAACTGCAGTCACAAAAGTTCCTCGGTCAATTGCACGGGCAAGTTTGACTTCTCTCCTCAGCTGGATCTTTCCTTGAGAAGATCGCATCCCAGCAACTTTGAGAATGAAGCTACTAAAGAAAGGCATGCCTTGATGCATTCTAATGGCTCAGCTTTCAGGCGGTAAGTAACTATCTCCAGGGACTTCAAGAGATGTATAAAATATTCTTGTCAGTATTAAACCATGAAAGCTTAATTGCATAAAGTGAGTGATCAGTTATTAATAAGTAATTGGATTTTGTCCTTTGACTTCTGAAAATTTCTCATTTTTATGCATTGCTACGGACTTGTCAATTAAATATGCGTTTATACAGGTATACTAGTAGGCAAACACAAGCCCCGCCAGCAGTGTCTATAAACTGCTGCAATCAAGAAAGAGAAAGGAGAACAAATTGTGAGAACAATATCTCAAACATTGTAGGCTATAACTCAGACGTTTCAATGCCTAATTTGCAAGGAAGTATTGTGTCTCCAGCTACACCACAATCAAAAGAATCTGAGCTCACAACTTCTCCCTCCCAGGGTAGACTTTCGCTTCCTATTCCAGTAAAAGCTGTAAGGTACGATGATCCATGCACAGCCTATGGTTCTGCACCTCTTCCTATGTTATGTACGCAGTCAGGTCCCGCAGCAACGCTAAATCAAGACTTGGTTCCACAACGTGAACCAACCTTTCAAGTGAATGGTTTTTATCAGTCAGATACCAAAGAAAACAGTTCAGAGCTGCTTTATAAACCTCAAGGTCAAAATGCAAACAACACAACAAGCCACGTTGTGTACATGCAGGAAAGTAATTGGGAACGGGCTGAGGATCGAAGACATGTCTCTCCCAGAACTGGTCAAAGTGCCTGCAGTTACAGCAATGCCGACCAGGTTGCTATTGTCAGGGCAGCTTCGGAGAGCGTGACTGAAGACGTCATAAAGAGTGGGAGTTCTCATCGATCTATCCAAAGAGAAGCAGCTCTCAACAAATTCCGCCTGAAACGGAAAGAGAGATGCTTTGAAAAAAAGGTTAGTCTTTGCTGTCAGCATTGCCTTTTGTTCATATGATCACAATTCTTTGATAGAGCTTTTCTTACTCTCATATGTATAATAGGTTCGGTATGAAAGCAGAAAGAAACTTGCAGAGCAGCGTCCAAGAGTGAAGGGACAGTTTGTTCGTCAAGTGCAGCAGGATGCCTAGGCTGCAGACAAAGATTGTTGAGACTCTGATCATTAGAGAATTGCTGTCACACCAAGTTTTTAGAATGAGGTTGCTTGAAAATTTTGTTTCCCGGAGTCCTTGTAGACGACAGCCACTTTATGTGTATATACTTCCGGAAAAAAAGTTTATTTTCCTTTCTTCTAGATCTTGATGACATGTTATGTGTGTTGTAAGTTTGTAACTAGAATATAGAGCTTTGTAAATTCTGGCTACATGAACTTGCTTGGCTCACTAAATATGTATTTATTTGTGAGGAATGGATAGGCCTGTGTTCTTTTTTTTTTAAGAGAAAAAAAAAACAAATAGATTTATTACTCTTTTTCGCTTTTCAAGGAATGAATGAATCCAATCCTGACCCCATCCCTATTCACTAAATTTAAAAGGACGGGAAAAGTAAAGGGAATTTTTTAGTCCTAGGAAGCCGCATGCGACAGCCATGTGAAGAGGAGAAAATAATAACATTTGAACGAAAATATCAGAAAATTAAATATGGTTACGATAATCCCTTACCTACTTTCGGCTTCTGGGTATATCAAGAGTTTGATTGATCTTGTGATCAGTAGAGTTCTTGAATTGCATGAAGAGGCATTGATGGGCGAAGCCGCAAGAAGTTTATGGCTGGAAAAAGGATCACTTTTCTTCTCTTTTTTCGTTTGGAGGATAAAGTTGCAGAAGAAATATCAATAGCCACCACGCAGTCACTATACCATCAGACAAATGCATGGTAGCCATACAATGATGCAGGGGACCCAACTTTTTCACGAAAAGATAATTGCAAAAGCTATCCAAACAAAATAATCAAAATAAAAAAAATGGTCTGACTCTTTTCCTTCTAATTTTTATTTAACAGATATGAAGCAAAATTACTCTGCTTTCGCTCTGCAGAAAGGTTATTTCGTTGCTTCTTTTGCTTCTTTCCCATTCAGAAAACGATCACCATCAATTATATTATATTTTCTCAGTTTAAGAATATGAAGGAAGATAGAGGAACCGATATCGTGTTGTAGCATCAATGTTCTTATGATTGAAGAGCTAGATTATATTATATATAACTGAGAGAGAGAGAGGGAGGGAGGGAGGGAGGGAGGGAGAGAGAGTCAAAAGCAATACTACATACACTTAAAATGTCAAAAAAGTCGCTACCATGTAAACTCCTAACCAGAAGGGTCCCACGTTGCCAAATAATGAAGCCTTTCATGGTCCACAGATTATCAAGTTTAATCAATTTCGAACGCTGTTTGTTTATTCTTGAGATCAAGGGGTGCAAGAGAGGTAAGTAGGCCACACAAAGTGGAGAAGCATGCATCAAGTGGGGCCAATTCTCAACTTGAAAAAGTAAAGTGAATGAGGAAATCATTACAGAAGCGATAATTTTAGAGGGAGTTTCCAAAAAGCTAATTTTACAGATTCTGCATGTCTGCTATATGCTTTTCCACGGTGTTTCATGAGAAAAATTCAGAATTAGACTGAGTTTATTGCACTTAAGAGACTAAGAGACGTCCGTAACGCGAGGTCAACATCGTGATTTGTGGAAGTAAAAGCAGACCATGAAGCGCCACTAGGCTATTAGCTACTACCTTCCCACTACAGCCCCAATCATGATTCGGGTCCGAAGCTACACACGCCACTCTATCTCTCTTCCACGTTCCCTTCAAAAACATCCCCTTTTATTTGCCCTTTTCCTCTCCCAATCTCTTATTCTAGCTCAGAAAAGGCGCCCCCCTATCCTCTCTTCCTTCAATCATCGTGCCAGTATCTGTGCGGGTGTATTTTGTTTATTTGTTAATCCCAAGCTAAACTGTCATTTTGTATGAGAATCGTTTGTGATAGGGTGTAGGGAAACCTGATGCACTGAATGGTGAGTGTCCCTCCTTGTACGCCACGCGTATCTCCCATGGGAATCACGACCAGGTGATCAATATGGCTGATTGATCTAATGATGTGGACAATTTCTTAGTCTTGTACGCCAACTTTTCAATGCGCGAGAAAGGCGGACTATGAATGCTGCTGTAATTTTAAGTTGAAGAGAAGTTGTTTTCTGGGTAACGCTTAGTAGTGGCGGAGAAAGTAGTTAAATGTTGGGCAAAAATGTTGGATATTATAAATATTTATGAATATTTAAAAAAAAATTATTATAATTTAATAATATTGATTTTTATACCCCTACTTGAATTTATTTTTATCAACTTGGAGTTATAGCTTTGAAGGATTTTAATCACCTTTTATTTGATTAATGACATTAAAAGAGTTTAATATTTATTTTAAAAACTTCTTTAATGTTTAAAACCGTTCCAAGTTATGAGGCTTAATTTATTTTAATTATTTTAAAATTGATGTTTGATTGTTTATTAAAGAGACCTTTGGTTGTGACTATATATAGCCGAGGGAATGTAGTGTACCCAATGTCAAGCTCTAGAGTTTCAAGCTCTCCTATGTATTGTGCTGCTTAAATATATTTTGTTAGTCTTTGTTGTTCTGTGGCCCTGCTTAATTTGCAAGATGAATTTATTTAATTTTGGAGAGCTACCATGTGAACAATCTAGTGTGGAATAACTCTTAAACAGTATCCTTACTCAAACTTTAAATCTATTATCAGGTTCTAACAATCTCAACAAAAAATTCAAGATAGATATAAATACGCAAGCACGTTGTAAGTTAATGCTATCTGTAAAGAATGAATGATGAAGTTTCAGAAATAATAATTGAAGTCAATAATGAGCATATATGAAATTTAGTTGCTTCCTTTCACTTTTAAAGATGAAAAAATTAATCATTTGATCAATCTTTATAACTTTTGACTTGATTATGATTCAACCAATAAATTTTAACTTATTCTGTACAATTCATTCTTTAGGGATAAATAATTTAAATGATTAAAACTATAAAATTAAATTATGTTAAATTAAAGTTTAAAAACTGAGTTTGAACCTAATCAAGAACTTTGCACCATCAAATTTTAACAAAGTGAAAATAATAAGAATTAAATGATTAATTTTTGTATGAAGAATTGATAAGAGAAAGTAAAACGATGAAATGAAGGGGAAATGAGAAGGCAGAGGATGTTGGGGATTAAAGAGGAGAATTATTGGGGTGAGTGAGTGCGTTTGGAGCGAGCAAGGGATTTCGTGGGAGTCTCAATCTATCAGTTTTGGTCCATTATGCAACCAAAGTAGGAAAGTGACCGAACCCATCTCGGGACCTTCAAAGAAAAGAATCTTAAAAAAAACAACAACAACAACAGCTACTGCCTTTTCTTTTCCTTCTTTTAATTGGGTGTGACAACCTCAACAACCTATTCTTTAGCACAACGCGTTCGGAGTTATTTTCTATGTTTTGGTTGTTTTTCTGGTTTTTCTATAATCCATGCGTCAACTGTGCATCTGCTACTCGTCACTTGTTAGCCAATCATAACGCCTCTGTAAAATGCATAAAGACGGGGCGAATATTGTTACGAACTGTTATTTTTGTTATCATCAATTTATTAATTGTATATTTTTACATTTTAGTGTATTTAATATCACAGTGACTATATTTATGATTTAATAAAAACTATAATATGATTTAATATTTCAATGAATTATATTCGCATACATACCGTATATCATATCATAATTTTATAGGAAACAATTGTAGCCAGTTGGTATATATGAAAATTGAATCAAATTTTAATTGGAGAGAGGGGGAAAAAAACTAAGGTAGTACTCTGGTCCATAGCTTTAATATGTATTGCCTGTGGAATTGCTTCAACATGCTCCTGAGTTGATGAGAGAAAAAAAAATTCCTTCTATTACTATTTACAAGATCATATCCATTACTTTTGATATAAGGTCTTTTACAAAATTTAATAAACATTTATGACTCACTTCTAAATTCCCTCATATCTTTCATTTAATATTTAGCTAGAATAATAGCTTTAATTTAATTGGAAAGTTATAATAATTTTTAAAATTTAACTATATATAACTAATTTTCTTAATGTTAGAAAATTTAATAGGGTTTTAAAAAAGAATTATATGGTTTAAACAGTGGTTTATTTGCGTTCACCAATAGCCCATTATCCTAATCGACAGCATAAAATGTGCAGATAAATTCTCATAAAAATTGGTCTACTTGTGTTCACCAAAAAAAAAAATGGTGTAATTGTTCATAAGAATACAAGTGATATCTCATAGTAGGATAAAAAAAAATTCTTTGTTAATATTATATTTTCGTTAACAAGTTATCTATAAAAATCATTGCAGCGTCTAATATTTGCCTAACGAGCTCTCAATCTCAAGACTTGACCCACAAATAAAACCATATAAAATAGATCAGTTTAATATTGTTCCCACAATTCACGCAAAAGGGGAACTAATTTTTCCCAGCCTTTTCCAGTAAAATGCTTGTAAGTTGCTGATTTTTTTGCAAATCTCCACCTTTTGTAATCCTAGCTTAACAATACACGCACCCGTGTCCCTTGCACTAATGCAAGATTTCTTCTCCTATGTAAATATGATTTTCAAGTTTCTACTTTCAACAAAGACACGTCTACCAGTTACTATCAAGAAAAGGGCCAGGGGTATCTAATATATCTTTTTTTTTTTTAAATATTTTTGTAACATCCTGTCCTTTTAATTTATTTTTTTAATTATTAATTTTTATATAAAATAAAAGATATTTTAATATTGAAGTCTCACAATAGTAAAAATTTATATTGTTTTATAATTTTTAAAAGAAAATATCAAAATTACACAATTTGATCTTTCTATTTTTTTATTCCATCACCACTCGGTATCTTACAAAACTTAAAGTTACAAAGCTAATAATTTAGATTAGCTCGAATAAGTTTCAAAAAATTCAAGAACAAACTTAAAAAAAGTGTGTATTTTTTTTTAAATGCTTGGGCCTATTCGGGACTCAGCCTAATACTCAAATGGAAGTTTAGATTTTAAAAAATATATTAAATATTATTTAATTTTTTACATTTTAGCTTATTTTATACTTCTTTTTTTACCAATACTTATTTTATGTTGAGAGACCATATATTTTAGTACATTATGATAGATATTTAAAAAATTAAAAATATTAGTGTCGCTATATTTTTTATTTTAAATTTATAAAATAAATTGAAATAATATTTAAAATATACTTTAATTTTGATTTTTAAATTTTAAGACCCTACAAATTTTTTTTGAAAAAATTGAGTCTGATATATTTTTTAAATATCATAAAAGGTATATTTTATATTTTTTTATAATTATGAAAATATTTAATTTTAAAATAAAAAATTATAATTCGAATATTTTGGCTGGATTTGCTATATGGTTTATTCAGATGCGTCCGATTTACTGGCACAAGGCTATTTATCTCTGTCTATTTGAAGGAGGAGAGGGAGCTGACAGTCAAAAGAGTTTGGAGCAAAATTATTGCTTCTTTCTTCTCTCTAAATCACTCTATATAACCCATCCTCACCCTTCTTCCTTAACGTTGTAAGCTTCCCTCCTTTCTCGAGTTTCGACCTTTCTTGTTCTCTCTTGGTTCTGCAAATGTCTCAAATCACAATAAAATCTCCAAAACACTGCGCCAGCAAACAAGGACATCACATTGAGGGGAACTACAAGAAGTTCTTCTTCATCATCTCCTCATGTTTCTCCATACTTTTGCTTCTAATCCTTCTCATCTGGCTCATCCTTCGCCCTTCCAAGCCTCAATTCTCCCTCAAAGACCTTGACATCTACCAGCTCAATCTCTCTGGCCCTTACCTCAACTCCTCCATCCACCTCTCCCTTCTCTCCAAAAACCCCAACCAGAAAGTCGGCATTTACTACGAAGACTTTCAGGTCTACGCCACCTACAAGAGCCAGCAGATAACAATGGACTCCTCTCTTCCTCCTTTCTACCAGACCCAACAAGAAAGCAATCTCTTGTCTGCTTCCTTGCTGGGAAATGGCATCCCTGTATCCCCCTCCCTTGGTTATGAAGTGGCTCGTGATCGATCTGCTGGCAGACTGGTTTTGAATGTTAAGATTAATGGCAAGCTTCGATGGAAGGTCGGAACTTGGGTGTCTGGTCGTTCGAGGTTTAATGTTAATTGTGTTTCGTTCGTTGCTTTTGGACCCTCTGTGCCTTCTGGTCCTCTAAGTTCAAACCAGGGGGCTCAGTGTTCTGCGGATGTTTGATTTTTTTTTTTTTTTTTACCATCGTTCTACGGATGTTTGATTAAATTTACTATACTGATCACAGTAATATAGCTTGCTGCCATGAGTGGTAAAGTTTTCCTATTTGGTTTTCAGCTTTTGGTTGGCTTTGATGTTGAGATCTGTACATGTAAAAATATATGAATGATAGGGCCAAAACTCATGGGTGAGAACGAAAAAGCTTGCCTCCTTATTATTAGATTGCTGTAAATCTTATCTCTTACTTTTATTTCCCTGCTCTTTTTCTCTTCCCATTATCTCTGTGGAATATTTTCTTTTGGGAGTGGATTCATGAGTAGATACTGGGTGACCTGGGCTTCTTTGTGGGGAAAGCAAATGATTTTGATTGAGGAATATGCAGATGAGATTATTCCGACAAGAGATTTAAGAAAATAGAGATATGAAAATTGAAATTGAAATCTTTTCTTCTCCAAGAATCTGCATATTTCAGTATTACATGCCAATTCCCTGCCTTTAAGAATCATATATACATGTTAGGCTCTAATCCAACTTTTGGTGACCATGAATCGAATTATATTTTCCTTCTTTTTGCAATCATATAAACCAATTGGCCTTTCATTCCTGTGAATATATTGAATATCCAGAATGAAGATGCTAAAGTGAATAGTTCCATTCACGTCCTTTTATTTTCAGCATGCAAGCGAGATGCTTCATCTACACTATTCTTATGCAGTCATTCCAGTCCAACAATTAAAACCTCTCAAAATTATACGAGTGTACAACTAAGCAAAATAGAATTGTAAAAAGCACATTCATTTCCAGACGTCAACCATATATGGTTGTTTAATGCCTTTATAGTTGATTAACATAAGATCAGATTGCTTCTCTTTTTCATTGATGATATTAAATTATATGATGCAGACAAAAGCCTTCCATTCCCATAGCTTTTTTGGAAAACGAGAAGAAACTGGAAAACCAGTGCCACAAATTTCAGAAAAGTCAGAAAACTTTCTGATGAGTTTGAAAAAAGCCAGAACTCAACAACTGGAACCAATATGAAAATGAAAACGGCAAGCAATTTCAGTATTTACGAAAACAGCAACAGTAACACTGTCACAGATTTTAATGCAAAAAGACAGGCACTATAGCAAACTCTTGTCCTATTTTAGCACATATTACAACCCTATCACAACATAAGAATTCTTTATAGAAAGTACTCTTGAACTTGTTAGCTTTTACTTTTTTATTTTTCTCGTGGGGTTGGAAACTCACTGCATGGAGTAATTGAAAAATACCAAAGGATATGAAGGTCCAAGGAAAAAAAAAAAAAGAAAAAAAGAAAAAAAGAATCCAAGTAATCATTTTGTTTTTTATATACAAAGATTATCCAATATCTAGTTTTATCAGGTCAGAATTCAGTATTGTTAAACACTTAAACCTAATTAAAAACAGCCTTTTTCCAACATGATTTTTTATCTGTGAAATTCAAACGGTCAACCTTACTTAAGAATGAGCATATTCTTTTCAAGACCATGTACATATATGATCTTTCTAGCGGATACACTTTGTGAGAAGAGCATAAATAAGTCGGTGAACGTGGTAAGGATGAATATAATGTGGTGATTTTTTGGTATCTTGATCTAGACATGGTGTCCTAAACTAATCGGGATTGGCTTAATTATCTGGTAATAATATATAGAAACACTATTGGGAGGTAGAAAGATAAAAAAAGGTTGTAATTACGTTCTGTTAATTAATTAAGGCATACACACACGTGCATGCAAGTATATGTATATTGTTTGTATGTATGCATGTCGAATAAAGACAAATTTGTTTAAAGGTGAGTGGAAATAAAGGGGCAGGTTGATGTTGAGGGTTAAAGAGGAGCGACCCCATAACAGACTCTGGAGTGAGGACGAAGGACAAGCAATGAAACAATTAAAAAGTAAAAGTGGGATATGATTTATGTTTGATGGAAAGTTACTTTTAATGATTCGGTTTTAATTAAATTTATATAACATGTTTAAATATTATAATTATTTATAAGGCTATAAAATTGCATCATGTTTTAAGAATTTATCATATAAATGTTCAAGAAGACATATTATAGAATTTTTAGGAAAAAATTACGAGTTACATTAAATGCTAATTCTAAAAATAATTGTCTTGAAATTTTTAAAATAAATTATTAGGTTCTCCATGAGCAATTATATATCTTTTTAACATAGTTATGATTAATTATGTCCTTCACAGTTGAGAAAATAATGATGGGATAAGAATATTTGCGTGCGACCAAATTTCGGGAATGCCTTGGATGATCAGACTGAAATTGGCTGGTAAGACTCTTCAAACGTGTACTTATTATTAATTAAGTATGATGGGTCAATAGGATATTGTGGTTTAATAATGGAGTCATTGCTTACTTTGGGGAGAGCCATGTGTATCGCAGAACTTATTTCTAGCACAAAAAGGAGAAAGTAAGCTTTGGAAATTTTTCATGCACCAATTTCAACAGAGGTCTCCTTTAGGAAAATGTCAAATGATTTTTGTCACAAGTGCTCAGCTTTTTATCCAGCATGCTCGAACCCCTCTACCCACCAGGATTTTAAATAAATAAAATCTGAAGCATATTCAAACGGAGAGTACTATTGGCTGGCCAATCAGAACCAAACTTAATGGCTACGAAATTAGGGACACTCGGTGAAATCTTGAATTCAAGTCTTGGACGAGGCTTTTCCCCTTATGATCAAACACAAGTTACTCGGTAATACATTTTCTGGGTCACCTGCTTAGCAATGTTACATACGGGACCAAACCCACCTACATGGATGCACTCAGTGTCGGGCCTGGGCTGAAATGAACAAAGCCGTACACGTATCAAATCCATTGGAAATCTGGAACCGGTCCCCTCATTCTGGACCAATCATTGAAGTGTTTCCATTGTCCATCATATCTCATCATAGTCCATTTTTTCATTTAGACGGAACCAGAAAGGAAAGACACTGGGGACCTTTTATAACGTCCTACTGGGAAATTTTGAATGCAACGTAATCTAATTATAAACAAGCAATTGATATATTTAAATAAATGAAGCCCAGAAGTGAAGAAGAACTAGCGCGCGCGTGTGTGTGGAAGAAGAAGTTGTTATACAATGTCCTCCTTTAGGCCAAAACTTACTTGTAAATGTTAGGGAAAATAATTTGCAAATTTGTAAAAAGTTAATTGTAAATGGATATTCAAAAACATAGAAAACGTTCCTAAATTATAGATTTACAATTAATATTGTTCATATTTATTTATAGCTAATGTTTACAAATTCACAAAATGATATTTTTTAAATTCACAACAGACTATTCTTAAATCATAGGTAATAATACCGCATTTTGAAATCTCGAAATACCTTCAAATTTCTTCAAGCTTCTTTTTTATTAGTGGCCATGTGTAATCAGTGTGTCACATTCACTTGCTCCGAATTTGACAAAGCTCCATTGTTTGCTTTGTTTCCAATCTGTTCCGTCCAAGCTTTTCCCTCATCCCCCATCATTGAAGCTTCTCCCTCACTCTTAGCCAAAGCTTATCCCCCATCCTTTGTTGTCCTATGTTTCAGCTAATACTGACTCAACATATTTATTAATTTCTTCTTTCCTCTGTCACAAATATGGGTGATGTTCTTCCTCTTCTCCCTTGGTCACATTGACCTTGCAAGTTGCAAACCTTGATTTATTTATTTATTTATTTATTTTTTGCTACAAATGAAGATTGATGAAGGAGATGAGATGAAGATCGGTGAGTTAGTGATAGGTGTTGCCTGAGATGAAGATCCGTGATTTGTCTTCCACCTTGATTTGTTGACAAAGATGCCAATGAGAAGGACGAAAGGGTGACATAAAATTTATCAATTTATTAATTCAATTTATTTTTAGCAAGGGAATAACAGGTGATGCCTTAATTTATTAATTTAGTTTTATAAGGGTATTATTGTATTTTAAAATTTTTGGGCAAAAGGATTCCATTTAAATTTTCCAATGTACCATACTCTACTTTCAAGCCTAATTCATTTTTCTTTTTCAAATTCATTTCTAATTTCATTTCTGTTAAAATGTTTCCAGTGAACCAAGCAAGCCCTTCTATTTTCTACCTCTCTTCTTTGTTGTTTTGTAGGGTAGCTGTGTTTTTTTTTTTTTTAGTTTTATTTATTTATAAAAAGAACATTTGAATGATTAAAAGTTTTCTATTACCATAATACTTTCGTAAGATTCATTATTATCATTTTCCCTAATTACTCAATGCAAAACAAAAATATCCCTTACCCAATGATAAATGTGAATGTCAATGTAAATTCATTAATTAATATCGGAAATTCTTGAGTATTAATGAAATCGTTCCTAATTAACTCGAATCAGTTTGACCCGGTCTGTATAACCTCGCCTTGATCCTTTTCCTCCCAAACCAGAATCAAATCCCCCTCTTCTCATCGCCCCAAATCCGTCCTTTCGACTCCCCATCCCCAAAAGTTGACAGACTCTGTACAACAAAGTGCTGCTACACCCGCCAACGCGCCCTTCTCCCCGTCCGCACCGGAAAACAGTCGACCACCCTCCATCATCGGCTCCGCCGCTTAGCGACGTCGAAGCTCAGCCGGTAGGCCTGCCGTCATCTCTGAATCTCTAATATTTTTTTTCTTTTAGGTTGGTGTGTGTTTTTGAACATGTCAATAAATTCGGTTGTCACTCCTGTATTGTCGTCCTAAACCCTTCTTTGCGCATGTTGCATATTATTTACTGCTTGGGAGTATACTTATTTGGGTTGCGACTCATTACCGATTTCATACTCAGCGCGCGATGTTGCATCATTTGAAAACATTTTGCTGCGCGAGAGCATTATATATTTTAAAAAACAAAAACTCAGAAATCGGGTGCCATATGAATCTGACAGTTCTGCAGAAGGAAGGAATGGATTTGCTCCATTGATCAATCTGTCCCAGATGTCCCTACACTTTTATCTCCCCCTTCCTCATCCACCTGCAGTTTTATCACTAATACCTTCTCTTCCTTGAATTTCTGCTCTCTCTCATCTTCAGCAGTTTACTTGTGCTATTCTGATATGATAATTGTGTACATCAACATCAGTTAATTCGTGTCTCAGAATTGATATTCATTTGTGTTGGAGACATGTCTCCTAGTGTTTTACTCTGCCAGTATATTTATTTATCAGCTTTTACTCACGAGGAAAATCTCTAATGCCTATTCTATTTTGTGCTATGGCATTGCCGTTGCACTGAATCACTCCCTTCCGTTAATAGGGCTTATTTTCTATGATTTCTACAGCTGGTACTTCCTGAGTGCCAATCCCAAAACCCTAGCATAGGGTTTTTCCATTCTTATATTGTGTTTTTCTTGGGAAATGGATTTCACTTAGGATATCAAACATTTAAACTCTAAGTTTCTCATATTTTGGCAAAAAAGACAAAAAAATAAAAAACTCCACGCTTCTCATAGATATTGCTATTTGATATTTTCCCAAAAGTCACTGTAGATGTTGCTGCTATGCTTATTCACTGTGCTTTTTGTCATGTGTCAGGCAGGTTTCATTTATTGAATGGATCGAGGAGTTAATTCAAAATGGCATTTTGGGTCATTTTAGTTTTTCGAACTTCGATCTAGATTTACTTGTTCTCCTCACATTTTGAGTGCGTGTCCATATTTTCATTATTATCAATAACAAGGATTGTGGTTCTTCTTTTTACTTAAATTCTAGCGGGTGAGTTCTATAGATACTTTCTATGGTAATATCAATGCGCAGAATACTGATCTTGTTGCATTTCTGCAGGTGTAGATGGAAAATGAAGCTGGTCAACAACCCAAGCAAGAGCGCTCAAGGACAAGATGGACAGCATCCCTTGACAAGATATTTGCCGACTTGGTTGTCAAGCAGATTCAATTGGGGAACAGACCAAACAATGTTTTTGACAAGAAGGCATGGAATCACATTCGTGATGAGTTCAATAGGCAGACAGACCTCAATTTCAATAACAATCAACTGAGGAAACATCTGGATGTTCTTCGAACACGCTTTCATAATTTGAAGTCTGCATATGATCAAAATAATGACTTTGTCATAAATGATTCGTGCTGCATTGGTTTTGAACTCTGGGAAGATTTGGGGGTAAATGTTTTTCCTTCACTGCAGCAAATTTTTTTAGTCGTCACCATGCTTATCATGAATTCTGATGTTTTATGCACAGGCTCAGCATAGGCCTGAAACAGTTAAAGTGAAAGACTGCCCTATATATGAGCAACTATGCACGATATTCACAGATTCAACTGCTGATGGGAAATACGCCCAATCTAGTCATTATGAAGAGTTGGACAAGTCTGTTGGAACCAATGCTGTTGTCTTAACTTCTTGTCCAGAAGGCGGAGTCTCGCATACAGAAAATGCATCATCTGTATCAAAGCCGGTGCAGGGCAATACCTCAACTCCAGAGAAGGTAACGAATAATCCTCCAGTTAAGAAAAAGAAACGTCCATCTGAGACTCCAACTCCCAGTTTGGATCAAGACGCGTGTGATGCTATGGCCGAGGCTTTGTTAGAGATGGTTGCTGCTTCAAGGTTAAGGACTGTTGCTTCAACTGTAAGTGATGATAAATATTCCATAACAAATTGCATTAGAGCTCTGGATGAGATAGCAGGCATTGATCAGAAGCTCTACCTTTCTGCATTGGACCTCTTTGAGAACCCTAGTTTAAGGGAGACATTCCTTTCCTTAAAAAGTGACCAGATACGACTGGCGTGGATTCAAGGAAAGTGTGGTAAAAGTACTTCCTCTTAGATTCAGGTCATTTTGGGAGTAAGCATAGAGCAATGTTGATCTGCTTAGGCTCAGCGAGCGAATTTTGTTCATAATATGGCCTTCTTTTGCTGGAAATGATACTGGTTTAGTCACCACTAGTCACAACCTGCAGCTGTTTCACTCACCTCTACTCTACTTTTCGTGCACAATCTTTTGCATTTTTTACTCCGTCAGATTTTTTTGGGAAACAGTTGCTGGAGTTTAAAAGGACAAAAACTTATATTCTATTACTAATCAGTTTAATCTACTTAACATCAGGTTTTTCGATTGGTTGATTATTGATTATTAAATAAAGCTTAGGAGAATTCTTGATTTGGTGGGAAAAGCCATCCTTTGAATTGATATTGCTGACTTGGGTATGATCTCTCTTGTGACTCCCAAACCTTCATCCCTCGCTTGATAATAGTAAAAGATATTTTACACTCGTCCTCAACATGGACGAAATTTAAAAGGTTCTTTTGGATACTTGATATAAAATGAAATTAAAGTAATTATTTTTTATTTTTACCTCGTTTATTTATTATCATTTGAATTGTTAAATAACAATTTATTATGATTATTAATTGCAAAAAAAGGTAAAATTAAAAGGTTATATATATATATATATATTTTATAATTTTAAAGTTATAACTTAACTTTTTTAATTAGTAAAAAGTAAGTTAACTTTGTTTTACACTAATAGACGAAGAGAGTATTTGTCATCTTAGCACTCACAGCTAATCAATTCAATATAACAAGCCCTATAATCCTATTTTATGACCATATGTAATACACCCAGATTTTATTATCTTGATATAAAAGAAAATCATAATAATGCTCTATCCAATTATCATTATTTAGAAATATATATATATATATATATATTTATTTATTTATTTATATGTGAATGTATATATAAGGGGAGGTGTAAGGGACTCTTTTCATATGAAAGGACATTGAGGACAAAGCATGAATCTATCTAAATCTTTAATCAACAATTGACCAATTAGTTCTAGGGAGTGTAAAAGATTGATACCCATATTGCATCGTTTTTAATTATTAAAAAATAATATTGCAATATTAAAAAAAACAAACAATGCAAACTGAGAGAAAAAGAATTAAAATGCATTTTTACTTTTAAATTATTCACCCAGAAGCTCTGGTGTTCTAAGCTCTTAAATAGAGCAATGTCACTTTGAAATGATAAAAATTGTGTAACGTCACAATTGCCAATAGAAGTTGCGACCAAAGGGTGTATAAGGCAAATTATTGGCATCCAGCTGGCATTTCATAAATTTTAAAAACACAAAAAAATCTTGTGCCGTGTCTTCTTCACGATCTAAACAAAATCTTCCACTCTGCCTCATCTCTTTCAAATCCAGAGCTAGAGATCTCAGTCCTGTTTTTATGTGAATGTCAATCAGTCTCACTTGAAGTCGACTCTCACTCTCCAATATTCTTTTTCTACAAGTTGTTTTTTTCCAATTCTTTAAAAAAGAAGATCTGTTAGGATGGGTGTTGGTTTTTGTTGAACATCCGTTACGTTGTTCTTTGCGTGTTGGAAGCAGCACTTGCAGTCGTTGATTGCTTGGTGTTTGTAGAAGTGACTTGGCTTGAGCATCCATTATCAAATCTATCACTGCCTGCGTTTGAAAGAGGCTTGTGGAAATTTCATGGTTGCACTTGCCACCACTGAGAGAAGACACCATCCAGAGGAGGATAGGAGTATGGTGGAATTGTGGGTTCAAACATAAAAATTGAAAATTATGTTATGGGGCACTGTTTCCATGAGATGGAAAGAGGGCTTGGACCTATAAGCACCACGTGGACTTTCACACAACACACGTGATTATTTAATGGACGTTCAGCAGTAATGACACGTTGCATTGTTTCTAAGGAAGATAGCAACCAAGGACTCAGTGGTAAATGAATATTAGTTAAGCATTGATTCATTTTAAAATTGTAATACAATCTCTCAATTTTTGATTGATATTGATTTATAATATTAAAAGACTAAACTATCTTTCAAATTTAAAAAACAAACAAAGAAAGAAACCCTTACTATCACCGTCAGCAAAATCACTAGAGCTCCAACGCTAACAACATTTTTATTCAAGAAATAATTAGTTTATTCAAATCCTTCCTTGGTCACCTAAAAAGCTTGGTGGCCACTAGAACATCAAGCCTTTTAATTATATATAAAAAAATATAAGTAATAAATCAAACTTTTAACTACTTTCATGTTATAATTTAACGGTGTATTGTTGATTTCTAAACAGAATTTATTATTTTACAAATGTTAACTTCTAACCATTTTTACTTGTTAATTTCTGAAAAGCTCTTGTAGGTGGCGTAGGCCTGAAATTATCATTTTTCTAATTTATTAAAACTCGAATGAATTATTATTAATTTAGAATGAATTGTTATAAAAAACCAAATAGACACTTGTAGTTAATATTTAAAAGCACATGTCTAAGGGACTGTTATTTTTCTAACTTGTTAAATTTTAAAAAAATTATTATTAATTTAGAATGAGTTACTGTAAAAACTCAAATAGATACATGTTGATGAAAAACAAACATATGCAATGATGTTAATCCTATATGCTTTTCTAACTTGTTAAAGCCTAAATGAACTATAGTTAATTTAAAATAAATTATTATTAAAATCTGAATGGATACTTGATGTTGATGATTAAAAACATAGGTCTAAATGGAACAAGTGTATAAACATCAAATTATTCTAAATTAACAACAATCCATTTTAATTTTAACAAGCTAGAAAAGCATATAGGATGAGTATAATTGTACATATTAGTCTTTCATCAACAAATATCTATTCAAGTTTCGACAAAAAACTTATTATAAATTAATAACAGTCCATTTGAGGTTTAACAAACTTAAAAAGTATATAGGATGGGTATAGTTGCATATGTTAGTCTTTCATAAATTAGTATCCATTTGAGTTTTAATAGTAACTCATTCTAAATTAACAACAACCCATTCAAAAATTAACAAACTAGAAAGGCAACAATCCATTAGACATGTACTTTTAATCATCAACTACAAGTATCTATTTAAGTTCTGACAACAATTCATTCTAAATTACTAATAGTTCATATGAGTTTTAACAAGCTAGAAAAATGAATAAGATAGACTTAATTGTATGTGTTAGTTCTTTATTAATAAGTGTATATTTAGATTTTTCACAATAATTCATTCAAAATTAATAATAATATATTCTTGTTTAACAAGTTAGAAAAACTAATACGATGGGCTTAATTATATGTGTTAGCCATTCATTAATAAGCATCCATTTGAGTTTTGATAACAATCTATTCATAATTAACAACAATACACCCTCCTTCTTCTTAGAGTTTACCCCCAAATTTCCCTCGTTAGGTAGAGAGTGGGAACCTTTTGAGCTCAATTTATTTAGGACGGGGTATGCTGGTAGTACAGTTATCCCAAAGCCTTCTCAATGATTGAATTTCCAAGGTATTTTTTTTAGGATAAATTTTTTAAAAAATATAAGGTATTTTTAGTATTTCAAAATATAACTAATGTGTTTTTTTTAAAAAGTATCCATAATAAATAAATTAATTTATTTTAAAAGCAAAATACCTTGTTAAATAAGAATAAGTATAAAAAGATAATTTTAATTTAGAGGCAATTAACCATTTTAGTGGGATATTACCAAAAAAATTACTTTACTGGAGGCAAGATTAGCTTAAAAATATTTTACGTTTTCAAATGGATGGAGTATAACTTTATTCGTGATATTGCTCTACTTAATACCACTTCAGTCCCAAATTATAAGGTATTTTTAGACAAAATATCACATACTAATAAATTTTATTAAATACACTTAAGAATCTTATTTTTTTCAAAATAAAATATAAATTTCTAAAAGTAATTTTTCATGTAATAATCTTAAATCTACACTTAGTTGGTATTAGATAGAGTGAAAAAATAATATTAAAATAAACTTATTTAATAGAACTTTAATGTTTTTAAAGTATCTTATATTTTAAAATAATATCTCTCCGTTCTTTATAAGTCATTTCTACTAACCTCATCAATACGAATGTAAAAAAAGCATAAGGAATAAAAGTGTAAAAAAATTTTAAATACACCCCTATATAACAAATTCAAAAATAATATCATGTTACTTTTTATTTCTGAAGAAGGATAATTTTAGAAATACAATTCAAATATTACTTAAAAGTTTTATCGTAACTTATAAATGAGATCAAATAAATTTTTTAAAATATATTTTATAAATAAAATTGGAGAGAGTATATCACTATCCAAAATGTTTTATATTACTGTGAGACATGAATAGTTTAGAATACCTGTGTTTCTTGTTAATAATGGTAAGTCCTTTAACTAGAGCTATATAAGAGACTGGACGGTACTGAACTTTAACGTAACTTAAAATTCAATCTCTTTTATGAAAAGGATTGAATTAGGCAACTCGTAGTCTGATCTTATCCAGTGATAACTTGAAATTTAATAGAATTGGACTTGGTCTAAAAGATTAAGAGATTGGTCCTATTAATTCAATATTTACTTAGTCTTTTTTTCTTTTTCATCTATGAGAGGCAATAATTCATTTCAATTTAATAAATTCAATTAAGATAATAAAAATATTTATAATCATAATAAGTTCATAATAATTTCCAACAAGAAGAAAAAATTATTTCAGTTACAATCCAAATAATTTAAATTTATAACTTCAACAACACTCTACAAACTTTAACAACATTGCATTACAACAATAATTTAAAAATAAACTCAATAAATATTCATATAATCATCTCCTCGTCATCAATTATACTTAAAGAATTTGTCAAAAATAAACTAATTATACTTATATTAAATAAATTAATGAGACTGAATTGAATTAAGTGATCTAAATGTTTAATTTTTTATTTAATCTAAAAATAATTTGATCATTTTAATTTTTTTAATTTTAAAAAATTAATGTTTATATGAATCAAATAGAATTAGATTATTTCGAATCAAATTGAGTTGAGCGGAAAATTTTTGCGCACCCTACCGGTAACCGAAGGGCTGGGGGGGGAGCAGCCTTTAAGTTTCAACTGAAGAACCAATAGAAAAAGGCACGTGAGTGTTTGTCAGGGAAATAGAAACCAGAGTCACAGAATCGACGCAGAGTGACGTCATTATCATGACAGGTATTTGGGCATTTCCAACTTGTGCGCATTAGAATCGCTCTGTCCTGGCTCCCATTTTACTGTTTTTTTTTTGCCTACTCAATGTGCTGAGATGCTAATTAGGACTCCTCCGCTCTGATATATAAATTTTTTTTTAAATTATAATATTTTATATAAATCATTTTATATTTAAAAAATAGATAATTAATAAATAAAAAAATAACAATAAAATTCTTCTAAAATATATAAATAACAATTTAATCATTCAAAATGTTATAATTTTTTTAAAATTTTTAAAAAATTTTCTATCATTAATAAATTTATATAGACTAACTAAATTGTCTATGTTTAAAATAAATGATTCATAATTTTTTTTAATATTTAAAACTTTTCTTCTTATATTCGCAACAATGCAACAGCAATAATATTTTATATAAGTCATTTTATATTAAAAAATAGATCATTAATAAATAAAAAATAAAAATAAAATTCTTCTAAAATATATAAATGACAATTTAATCCTTCAAAATGTCATAATTTTTTAAAATTTTTTATAAATTTTTCTATAATTGATAAATTTATATAGACTACTAAATTACCCATGTTTAAAATAAATGATTCTCAAGTTTTGTTTAAATATTTAAAATTTTCTTGTTTATATTCGCAACAATGCAACAATAAATAAGGTATTTGCTGTTACATTGTTGTGAATATAAGAAAGAAAATTTTAAATATTTAAACAAAACTTGTAAATCATTTATTTTTAACAAGAATAATTTAATACTTTATATTAATTCATTAATGATAGAAAAGTTTCTAGGAACTTTGAGGGGATTATGATATTTTGAGAGATTAAATTATCATTTATATATTTTAAAAGGATTTTATTATTATTTTTTCTTAATAAATTTATTTTAAAGCTGTTCAACTTATACCCATTTTGATTATATCCAGATGGATCCCATCTTGGCCCAAAAATAATCAAGACAAGAACAGGACATGAGATTGCTCTTGAGATGTCCTATCTCATCCTGAATATTATATATGTATATTATTTTTTATTTTAAAGATGTACATTAATATATTAATTATATTAATATAATTTTTACTTATATTAATTATAATTTCAACACTTGCAATTCTTATTTAAAACTAAATTTTTTTTTTATATTAATAACTTTCATGACACAAAATAAGCAATATAGGGTAATATCTTTCTTTACAATATCTTAATTATGTTAATACAATTTATTTTCATGTCTATTTGTTTATATAGTGTTTCTTGCTTTATTTTTGAAAGAGTTGCTAACTTAACATATTTCAATTAAAGAAGAAGAATAATGATTTAGTGTTGTATCTAGCTTATCTCTTATTGCTATTTTTATATCTTAGAGATTACTTGTGATTGATATCATAATGTATTATCCACCATATATGCTTGACTTGAAGTTGTATACTTGTAATTGTAATTAATGTAATTAAATAATTAATTTTAAATTATTATAATTTATGTACTCATATTGTTTTGATTTTTAACTTGATAAGTTATGTAATTTAAAATTTTAATGAACATTATTATTCTAGCTTTTCTCGACATTGTTTGCTTTATTGGGATAATGAGAAGTCCTGATTTCGTCCCAATCCCATCCCTAATTCCTACTAAGACAGGATGAGACATGAAATAAAAATTCAATCCCGATCATTTTCTAAGACAAGGTTATCTCAATCCTGTCTCATCCTGTGAACATCTTTAATTTCTTTTAATTTTACCTTTCTCACTTTTTGATAAATAAAAAGGAAAAAAATTACATGAGAAACGAAATATTTTAAAGGGAGGATTTCAATAAAGGACCAAAAATGGGACTTAATTATTAGAGGGTCCCAAAAAAATTCAAAACTTCAGTTCAGTCCAAGGAATTGAAATGGTAAAAAAACTAAAGTATCCTTTCCTTTTAATATAAAATCATTAATTGTTAACTTTCTTATTTCACTTGTTAATTTACCAACATGAATTTTAAATTATACCCGTTTGTCAAACAAGTAGCAACATCAGTCGTTAATTTATTAACTTTACTTATTAATTTATTAACATCCGTTTTAAATTACAATACATGTTAATAATTTACAACTGATATTAGTAAATTAATAAATAAAGTTAGTAATTTAACAACTGATGTCAAGTTTTATATAATTATTGACATGTCAATTCATATAATTTATAACTTATATTAGTAAATTAACAAGTGAAATAGGAAAATTAATAACTAATGATTCTACATAACAAGTGAAAAGTGTTTCAGTCTTTTCACCATTAAAATTATTTCTATTTTAATCCCTTAGGTTGAATTGAAGTTTTAAATTTTTTGACACTCATTGATAATTAAGTCACATTCATAGTATTTAATTAAAATTCTTCCTATTTTAAAGATGATGCATTTATCAAGAATAAATTAAAAAAATTTATGTAAAAACAATATCAATCACCCAACTATCTTTTTTTTTTTGGATAATGTAATGACAAACTATTTATAAAAAGTATGGAGTAGTAACTTTCCATATTCTTGTTAACTGAGGTGAAACCAGAACAGGAAGGTTAGGGGGCCAAAATTTTAATAAAGATTATCATATATGCTGATTTTTTTAAAAAAATTAATATTCAGAATAAAAATATATTAAAATACTTTTTGTAATGTAAAAAAAAATATAAGATAAAAATCATTTATGATGATATAATTTTTTTAAAAAAGTTAAGTCATAGTATTTTTTATACTTATAACAGAAACTCTAAAAAATTTACATGTTTGGTGCAGTTAAACTAATATTTACCTATGCTATAAGCTAGTTAAATAATAAAAAATTATTTAAGTAATTACTCAATTTTTAAAATATTAATTTATCAAGGAGAATTTTTTTTCAAACAACTAGAAAAAAAATAACATATAGAATATAAATGTATATCTTTAAAATTATAAAGCATGTTTAATTCGATTACATTCTCCAATGAATTAATTAATAGTCTTTAAAATTATACACTTTTTTTCATGTTTACTCTTATTTAATAAGTTATCTTAAGAAAACTTGATTAATTGCACTCCCTAATTAGGGTATACTCGCTCCGATCCCATTCATAAGCTATACTCTAAAAAGTTTATTTGATCTCATTTATAAGTCTTTATAAGTTATGATGTAATTTTTTAAATGATATTTAAAAAGTATTTTTAAAATTACCTGTCATGAGAGAGAAATTTAATTTATTATATAAGGATATATTTAAAATTATATACATTTTTATTTTTTATACTTTTTTTGTATTGATATTGATGGGGTTAGTAAAAATAACTTATAAAAAGAATTTGAGGAGTATTTGAAAAGACCTTATTAACTACACCTTAAAAACCCCTAAATCCCCAATATTCTTCAAGATTTTACCTCATAAAAAATGTCTTATATTATTTTAGTACTGAGGATGCATAATTAATTTTTGTTTAATATATGGATAAGAAAATATATATGTGCCTCGAGGGTAAAGAAATTTTAGTCCCACCCAATTCCACACTCAGGGTGCACACATAATACACCCTCCTTCCCATATGAATGAAGATGGCCATGGAGATGGTCCCCCCTCAACAAAGACCTAGGTACGCCTCTGCCCGTTAATGCACTAGATTGGGTGGGATTCATTGGATGGCATTGACGACTCAGATTGTGGCAACCATGGATGGCATCACTTCATTATGTAGTCTTTCTGCCTATATATCTTACTTAAAGCTGAGTATGCCGCTTTCAAACCTCCCTTCTTAATTATCATCTTCCTGTGGCCGACAAAGGAAGGAATTATCACCATCATCTTCTTCTTCCCCGCAAAACCTGCCCTCAAAATGGAAACCAAGGTCCTCTCCTCTGGAATGCCACACTCTTGCCTGCCCCGGAGTTATATCCGCCCAGAATCAGAGCGTCCTCGTCTCTCTCAAGTCTCTTCATTTCAGGATGTTCCGGTTATCGACTTGTCTTCACATGATAGACCTCAAATTGTTCACCAAGTTGGTCAGGCCTGCAAGTCCTTTGGCTTTTTCCAGGTCCTTTTAGTTAATTTCTTTTAGTCTTGACAGGTCCGTGCCAGGGCGTGTGTGCTCTGTTCAACTAACCATTCAAGGAATCTGCAGGTGATTAATCATGGGGTGGATTTGGAGGCGGTGAAGAAAATGTCGGAGGTGGCCCATGAGTTCTTCAGGTTGCCGGTGGAGGAGAAGATGAAGCTGTACTCAGAAGATCCCTCCAAGACTATCAGATTTACCACAAGTCACAACGTTCACCAGGAGAAGGTCCACAATTGGTTGGACTACCTCAGGCTCCATTGTTATCCTCTCCACAAATATGTCCCTGAATGGCCTTCTAACCCTCCGTCTTTCAAGTTACTGCACGTGAAATTTATAGTTTGCCTTTCAACTTGTTTTTCCTTTTATCTATTCGAAGGAATCCAATCCATTCTTGCATTCATGTTTCTAAAGTGACTTTATAAACAAATGACCATGGTTTGAAGCACGCAATCGTGTGTGTGTGTGATATATGAATTGTGATGTAAACAGTATGAAATGGAATGAACAGAGAAACGGTGAGAAATTACTGCATGGAGGTCAGAGAGTTGGGGTTCAGAATAGAAGAATACATATCAGAGAGCTTGGGCCTCCCCAAAGATCACATCAAGAATGTGTTGGAGGAGCAGGGCCAGCACATGGCCGTCAACTACTATCCTCCGTGTCCGGAGCCAGAGCTCACCTACGGCCTGCCGGCTCACACCGACCCTAATGCTGTCACAATTCTCCTCCAAGACGTCGACGTGTCGGGGCTTCAAGTTCTCAAAGACGGAAACTGGGTCGCCATTAACCCACAACCCGATGCCTTCGTCATCAACATCGGGGATCAAATCCAGGCATCGCACCATACACTACATTTGCAATGTTCATGTCAGCATTTATTTTCATTCCATCACGTTGTGATCACAGGCTTGGGTGAATGTTGGTGCAGGCTTTGAGTAACGGGATTTACAAGAGCGTGTGGCATCGTGCTGTTGTTAACTCAGACAAGCCGAGGCTGTCGGTGGCTTCATTCCTGTGTCCTCAGGAAGACGCTCTGATCAGCCCTGCAGAACCACTCACGGAAGATGGACGTGGAGCCATGTACAGGGGCTTTACATATGCAGAGTATTATAAGAAGTTCTGGGGCAGAGACTTGCACAAAGACGCCAGCTGTCTGGAATTTTTCAAGAACGAGTAAAGCTGTAACGCTCACGTGAGTAAATGGGAAGAGTCCAGCCTCCCTTCGCCATCCAATTTTCACCCCTATACATGTTTTTAATTTGAGTTCTGTGGTTTCATTATCAGAATTTGATTCGTGATATTGTTGCGTGAAGTCAGAGACTGTGAGGTTGAAGGAATAGTGGCTATGCGAGGGAGAGGGTGTGGAAGTTCTCAGCTTTCTTCCCTGTTATGATTTCTAATTTCTAGACTATTATCAGTGCTGTTGCTTTGTTTGATAACTGTCATGTATCAGAAGCTATTATCTGAGTTGTGTTAAGCTATGCATATTAATAATTGCAGCTCTCAACTGTATTCCAATGGGTCAAGTGAATTCCACTTGCGGTTATCTCTGCGTTGTTAATATCTATTTGTGGGCAGCCCATAGCATGAAATTACCCCTAACATGCACAGTAGACACCTTGTTACAGGGAAAAATAGTGAAAAGTAAAGGAAGCAAATTCTTAAATGACAAAAAAATACACTCATTTTATTTTATACAGGCAGCATACAATAGCTCGTTGATGATTCTTTTTCCGAGAGAGAGGGAGAGGGAGAGAACGTGACAAGCTGAAATGCAAGATGCAAGTGTGAGATGAAGAAGTGAAGGAATTGGATCTTGTAGTGATATAAATCTACAGATTTAATGAGTGTCTTGTGTCATATAATAACAATTATTTAATTTAATTGAATAATTGAAAGAAATTTTGTCATATAATGTTTAAAAAATATAAAATTATAATTTTTTGGAGGGGACAAAATATGTGAAGAATGCTTCAATTGTGATTTTTTTTTTGAATTTTTAAAATTTTTTTAATAATTTTCAAGTATTAATAAAAATTTAATAATTATAGTTGATACACTTATTGGCTGAGTGAACTTAATAGATCTAAATTCAAAAGTGAAGGATTGATGGGGAAATTCCATGATATCGGAGTTGAAAGCAGAGCAAAAAGCAGTCTTTGTTAGGTGGATGTGAACCATATCCTTTGCTAGGTGTGGTCTCATAAAAAACAACATTGGTCCAGCGATAATATCGGTGCTCGTTTCATATCCACTGAAAATCGTGAGAACACTCACGCTCATGTTCCGCCCATATTTGAACGTGTTTTTCATGGTACATTATTATGAGCATCATTATCTTAGACACAACCAAAATGACATTAAATATACTGACAGATTTTTATCCCAAAAAAAAAAAGCAATGATACTCTCCCAACAAGTATTTAACATAAAATGCATATCCAAGATTGCCGATTAAACTATCACAGCCCCTTATTAATTAAGCTATGTGCTTGTTGGTAACATCCTAAAAATTTTAAATAGAATTAATTATGATCATTAAGGGCAAAATGGTGAATTTAAATGTTAACTCAAGTAGATTGTGATTAATGGATGACTAATAGGTGTATTAAATCTTAATTGAGGCTTTGAATTGTATCTCATGTGATATTGGGCCACAATTGAATTCAATAGAATGAAACAAATTCGGACTCCTAGATATTGTCATTAGCCGTAGCTTGTGGTTGCTTTGGCCACGGCTTATGCACAAAATTTTAAGTTCCAAATTTGCTTTTTTGAGCCAAGATTGAAAGAGAGAAGGATAAATCTTAATTGAGGCTTTGAATTGTATCTCATGTGATATTGGGTCACAATTGAATTCAATAGAATGAAACAAATTCGGACTCCTAGATATTGTCATTAGCCGTAGCTTAGTTCTATGAATTCCATTATTAAATATAGTCACATTGTTAAGAGATTTGCAAGAAGACCATAGCATGAAATTACACCCGGTAGGCGCAGTGGATAGATGTGTTGTTACAAGAAAGAAGAGTGGAGAGTAAAAGAAGGAAATTCTTAAATAAGAAAAAAAAAACACTCATTTATGTGGCACTGTCAGGACTTGTTAATGATTCCTTTTCCTATATAAAAAGAGAACCAGAATTTCCGGATGAACAGATTGCATTTAAAGCAGCAGAATCACAATTTGACAAGCTCAAATGCAAGACGTACGTGTGTATGAATGAAAGGGGGAGAAATGAACAAGCTAAGGGTTCTTGAGGAATTGCAGAGCAAACAGCACGGAAGCGAGAAGCCTTGGTAGCATGATGACGTGGGTGGGGACCACACCCTTTGTTTTTGTTTTTTAGTTTCTTGTTTTGCGATACTGTATGGCCCACCGAAAAACTATTGGTCCAGCAACCACATCGGTACTCTTTATTTATTATTATTATTATTATTATTATTATTATAAGATCATGATAAAATCGTGTAAAAAAATTAAAATTTAATTATATCTAAAATCATAAAGTTATTATAATCATACAGGGGACACCCCACGCATTTCGTATCCATTGAAAATCTATGGACACCCCACTCATTCCAATCCATATTTGAAACTATTTTCTATTATTCACCCATCATCATCTCTAGCAAAACCAAAAACCATTAAAAACTCTAATTAGTGATTCACAATAACATAATTACTGCTATAAAATTAAGCAACTCAAAAATAAAAGATATTGAAAGAAGAGATAGAAATAAGAGAATGAGAAATTTTTTTATAAATTATTGTATCCTTCAATACAAATTACATGCCCCATTTATGTTGGCGGCACCAGCGACAAATATGAACGGCGAACTGCGAACTGCTTGAATCATGGCCGGAAGGACATTATTCTTAAAAACTATTCCGGCGCACCTTTGACGGACTGGCAATTTTCGAGGATTAAATAAGAACTTCCTGCAAAGCAAGGAAACAGAACAACATAGACTAAAAAGCAAACACAGATGAACATGAGAGCAGAAGGCAGAGGGAGGAGAGAATTGCCCCGAAAACTCAAGAGGTTGGTCAAGTTTTTCTGTCTGCACCTAAGGCTATATATAGCCTAAAAATGGAGACATGAACATTGGGTCATAATCATCGATTAATGTTTCGGTTACACACGTATAAAACAACAAAAACGTATATGGATTAATGCTTTAGTTACACTCTCATAAATCATGTTTGAACATATGTCTGGGGGTTACGCTGACATAAATCACAGTTAAGCTTTTGTCTAGAAACGTTTACGTTTAGAAAATTAATCTGGTTAATAGTAAAAACGTTTATGGCTTGAATTTAAATTCTAGACAACTAAAACCTGAGATTTTTCAGTAAGCAAAAAATAATTAATTATTTATTTTGTAAAAATAATTCAGTAAAAGGAACTCATTGCCTCTTGAACTCACGTGCAGGGGGGCAAATTGGCTGATTTCAACTGCGATTGTCCTGTGTTGGCTTGTCTCATGTGCACGAGGCCACTTCTCCTCCAAGCCTCTTTTACTAACCCACTTTATTCCTTAGTATATATACACTAGGAGAGTCCTTCATTTAGTCAATGTGGGACTTTGACACACACACACACTTTTAACACACATACAACAATCCACCACATGTGTTAAAAGGATCTATGTTCGTCTGTATTATTCACACGGAGGATAATCACTTTGAATTTGGTGTCTGTCGACTTGAACCAAACCTAGACTAATAAAACCTAGCACAAAGAAAAGTCAGTGTAACTTCGTTATTAAACCAACAGATCTTGAGTGTGTGCTAAAGGTCATATTAATCGGATTATACCCCCACAGTCTCTGCTGTTAACGACGATTTTGCATGTTATCGGCCATGCGTGCGCTTGGTTTTAACAAATGCTCTAGAGATTTTGCCACGATCTCATAGGAGCGGCCTCACTCCACATTTGTATAAGTGTTTTCATCAAATATATTTGCAATGAATACACCATCCATAAGGACTATGAAAACATTAAGAGCTTTCGCTCAGCCTCCGTTCAATGCATTCTAGCACTTTCTCAAGCCATAGGAAGGGACAAAATTCAATGCTAGCAGAACTAACAAGTAACTTGTTCTTATCCATTGAACCTTCTTCATGGGATCTCCAATCACAAAGGTTGGGTTGCCAGCACTGTTAATTTCAAACAAGCTTAAGTCATATTCCCCTTGACGTTTCAATAATAAATTTCTTCCCCAAGGGTTTAGTTAACGAATTCACCAAATTTAACTCTGATCTCACATAATCGATTGAGATGATCCCATCTTTGAGCAGCTACCTTATAATATTATGTCTCAATCAAATATGTCTACTTTTGCCATTGAAGGTCTTATTTTTAGCTGTTATTATTGCCGACTGGCTATCACAATGTAAAGATACTAATGGTGTGGGCTTTTCACCTATTGGAATACTCGCCAAGAAGTTTTTCAACCACTCAATTTCAGTCCTAGCCAGCTTCATGGCAATAAACTTAGAATTCCTTGAGGATTTTGTGTTGATTGTCTGTTTTGCAGACTTTTAGGTTATTACACTACTACCAAAAGTGAATATATAACCACCAGTGGATTTTATCTCTTTTAAATCTAAAATCCAGTTAACATCACTATATCCTTCCAATACAGGGAGAAATCTACTATACAATATACCATAATTCATGGTACCTCTCAAATATCTCAAGACTCTCACCTGAACCTCCTAATGTTTACTGCCTAGATAGTAGGTATATCTGCTTAATCTGCCTACAGCATAAGCTATATTAGGCCTAGTAAAATTAATCAAATGCAACAGACTCCTAATAATCTGTGCATACTCAGATTGAGCAACTGGGTCACCCTTGTACTTTTTTAATTGCACACTCGAATTATAAGGAGTACTCGGAGAAGCATCTTCAAGGTGTCTAAACTTTCTGAGAATTTTCTCAACATAATGTTCTTGGGAAAGCAAAATCCTATTTTCATTCCTTATGATTTTTACACCCAAGATTACCTTGGCTTCACCCATATCTTTTATATCAAAATTTGAAGAAAAAATTTTTTTCGTTTCATTAACAACATATATACTAGAGCTAAAAAATTAGTATGTCATCCACATACAAGCATATAATCACACAATCATTATTCACAAGCTTTGTATAAACACACCTTTCTACTTCAACAGTAGAAAATTCACCAGTTGTCAAAATTTGATTAAGTTTTTCATGCCATTGCTTAGGCGGTTGTTTTAAGCCATATAAAGACTTAACAAGTTTACAAATTTTATTTTCTTGCCCAAGAATCACACATCCCTCAGGCTGTACTATGTAAATCTCTTTTTCTAAATCACCATTTAAAAAAGCGATTTTAACATCCATTTGGTAAAAAAAAACTTTTAAATTGAAGCCAAAGTAATAAAAACTCTTATAGAAGAGATTCTAGTCACAGGAAAAAATGTGTCAAAATAATTTATATTTTTTTTTGAGTAAAAACCTTAGCCACAAGCCTTACTT